TAACTACCCACCCCAGGTATCCTGTGGAGCAGTCAGCTCCACTGTCCTTGCAGACCTGGTGCAGNTCATAGTGATGCAGATTTTCAGTGCTGTGGACATCGCCCTAATGCAGTTCAGAGGCCATGTCAGCAGTGCTGCTGGGAACACTTAAGTGTGTCCCAGTGGACTATATAAGGTGCTTGGGCTGCCATAACACAGGACCACACTGGGTGGAGTGAACAGCAGGCATTCATTTTCTCACAACTCCAGGGGCTGGAAGTTAGAGCTAAGGGCTATTCTCCTGAGGGGTCTGTCCTTGGCTTATAGATGGCCATCTTCTCTCTCTGTGTCACATGGACTCCCCTCTGTGCTCCCATGTGTCCTCCTCTCCTTTTCAAAGGACTCTGGTCATATTTGATTAAGGCCCACACCACTGAACTCATTTAACCTTAATTACTTTTTTAAAGACTAAAACTTAAATGCAGTCCCATTCTGAAGTTCCATGGATTCCAAAATCATAGAATTTGGGGGACACAATTCAGACCACAATGTATAGTATCCTCCACTGGAGATAGTCACCCCTCTGCTGGTGGAAGGACAGGCACATGTAAAACTTGCACAGCTGCAGGCAGATTCCAAATCCAAAGGGCTGTAGCAGTGATGTTGCCAACAGCAGTTTCTGATGATGGCTGCTGCCTTGCTCCCAGCCTGGCCCTTGGATTTCTCACTCACTGACATACCTATACGATAACAATTCTCCAAGGCCATTGCAGTGTTCCTTCTTTGACAATTGCCTCACTGGTACTTTGACTCACCTGTCAGCTTTGCATAGGTCACATGAATTTGTTCCTTCTTGGATCATCTGCTCAGATTCCTCATGATCACCTTTCTCCAGTCTGGAGTCTCCAGGCATTTGCCCCTTTGCAGAATCTGGGGCCTCCATACTGGGGCCCTTTTACACTAAAGNTCCTTTCCAGAATCTGGGGCCTCCATACTGGGGCCCTTTTACACTAAAGGGTCTCATGACACCCTTTAGTGTAAAAGGAACAAACATAAGTGTCTCTTTGAGGTCAATGGTTTTCATAGGCCATGTCTACAGTGTACACTGTCCCCAAACTGGGGAAGGACAAGATACCTAGACACTTTCCATCAATGTCAGGAGCAGATAAGTCTCAGGTAGCTGAGAGGGAATGTCATACAGGACAGTTGTCACTTCTTAGCTGCATGACCTTGAGGAGACAATTGACATCTGCAAGCCTCTGTGTTCTCATCTCTATAATGGGAATGTTTCTTGAGGACTCATGGGGACAATGCTCTTCATAAGGACTATTAAAACAAGGAGGTCTGATATTCCTCAGCCAAAAAAAAGAAAACATGCCTAGAAGCTAACAATTGTATGAACATCACCCCCCCCACCACCACCACCAAACTTAAGTAGTATTTTGAAAACCTAGAACCTTGTTCAACCTGGGCATTGCTGTCCCTCCTCTTGCACCTGCCCTTAAGGGGCTGGGACTTCCTGGGTGAGTTCCAGACCTCAATCCTACTGGNTTCCCTGGGTGAGTTCCAAACCTCAATCCTACTGGGATTCACAGTGGTGCGTTTGACTGGATGTCCCTCCTTGTCCCCCCCAGTATGTGGCTGAGTTAACTTTTAACCTACATGAGGCCTTCAGGCCCAGCCAGGTGTGGCTCAGCGGTTGAGCGTCGACCTGGGATCCAGGCGATCGGGGTTCAATTCCCAGTCAGGGCACATGCCCGGGTTGTGGGCTTAATCAGTGACTCTCTCATCATTGATGTTTCTATCTCTCTCTCTCCCTCTCCTTTCCTCTCTCTGAAATCAATAAAAATATATTTAAAAAAAAAAAATGAGGCCTTCAGGATGCAGACCCTCCAAGAAGGCACCCTGGAGAAGGTGGCGTCATCCACGGTACCAGGTTTCCAAGATGGAATCCCCCCCACATCTGCAGGTTCATGTTCATGTACCCAGACCTCTCTAGAGCCCAATGGTTCCTGGGTGAGCTGTTTACTAGGTGAGCGCATGCTCCCTCTTCTGCACACTAATGAGTCTGCCCACAGTTAGCTGTGTGTCTTGAAAATGTCACCATACTGTCTGAGCCGCAGTTTGCTCCACTGAAAAGTGGGGTGGTAGAGGAGAAAATTCATAAGGTTCTTGTAGGACTACTTTGGGGACAAGCCATAGCCAGTCTTACCTGCTGCCTGGCTCAGCAGAAAGGGCTGCTGGGAGTGCTGCGGTTGTTTGTGGTAATTATTTTTCTCTGTCCTGTGAAAGTCCCCTGACTCTCCCATCAGCAGCCTGATGGAAAACAGCCTGCCAAGCAGTTTGAGATTTCACCTAGCTGGCCTCTGTTCTGGTCCTTGGTGTAGGCAGATTAGGGATCTCTGGGGAGAGGTGACAAGGGGCCCCGGGCCCACTCAGATATCTGGGATGGTTCTGGTTGGAGTTAATTTGCAGGACAATGTATATTAGGCTCTTACTACCAGCAGGCACTTTTGGAGACACTTAGCCTAACTCAGTGAATGAAACAGACACAATCCCTGAGTATCAATTCAAGTCAGCGAGTCAGACAATCACATTGCCCATCATTCACAGGTCCNGCCCACTCAGATTTCTGGGATGGTTCTGGTTGGAGTTCATTTACTGGGCAATGTGTATTAAGCTCTACTACCAGCAGGCACTTTTGGAGACACTTAGCCTAACTCAGTGAATGAAACAGACACAATCCCTGAGTATCAATTCAAGTCAGCGAGTCAGACAATCACATTGCCCATCATTCACAGGTCCTGTCCACCAGCCATCAGATCTGATGTAATCAGGGTGTTCACTGCATGTGGAGATAAAGGGCCATATAATGACCAGGGTGACACACCACAGGACCAAGTCAAAGTGAGTGGTCTGCGGGTCCAGAAGGATGCCTCCTGTGACTACAGGCTGGAGGCTTAGGGTGAATGGGCCCTGACANTCGGGTCCAGAAGGAGGCCTCCTGTGACTACAGGCTGGGGGCTTAGGGTGAATGGGCCCTGACAGAGCCCTAATTTTACACATTTGCTGATTCCCAGGGGAGGGCTGAGGTCTGGAGGCTTCTACTCCAGGAAGACAGGGGTCAAAGAGAAAAGTGGATGGGTCACAATCCCCTTAGCACCAGAGGCAAGGCTGGAATGAATTGTCCCCAGAGTCCTATCCCCACCACAGACCCATCCAGCTCTGCCTGCTCCTCTTCACATGCATCTCTCCTGATGGCCATGGCCAAGCTCAGAACAAAACTGTGGTGTGAAGGCTGCTCACATGTCTGTCTCAGTCCTCAGACAGATGTCCAGGGACACAGAGGGCTGGGCTGGGCTGGGCTGTGTACAGGACCTTCAGCCCAGCTGTCAGTGGGAGGAAGACTCACAGACTCTGTGTTAAACCTGCTGGATCACCATTCCTGCTATTCTCATGACAGCCACACAGGGGTCGGAGGTGGCATGGGGCTGGTCTCTGGATGGGCAGGAACAGCCACAGAGGCTCAGTCCCAAACAAGGGTTCCATGGGAGGGCAGTGTGGAAGGAAAGACCAGGAATCTGACTCTGCTGCCTACCTGACTCTGCAAGGCCATTTCTTCTGTGATGGGAACTTGGCTGGATCGGGTTCAGCCAACCCCTACATTTCCCCTGGGTCATACTGAACCAGGCTTTTGTGTGGGTAAAACACCCTGCCCCACACCTGGTGCACCTCCTCCAAAGTCTTTGGGTAGAGCTGGAGCATCTTGAGCCCACTGGGGCAGAGCTGGAAGGTGAGGGGACTGCAGTTTGGGAAGATGATCTGGGGGTTGTGGAGTCTGGGTTTTATGGGCTGGAGGNGTCTGGGGGTTGTGGAGTCGGGGTTTTATGGGCTGGAGGACCCTCAAAGCCAGTGGAATCTTTCCTGGCTCTTGGAAGGCATGGGACACTGAGGCATGTGGGTGAACCAGTCTTTCTAACCTGCTCCAGAACCACCTCCAGAGCTTCAGAGCACTCCACAGCCAGAGAAAAGGCCTGCTGCAGGGCTAGAGCCTGATCCAGCTGTGCTAACACTGCAGCCAGAGTCACCCACATCAACCCTTTCTGATCTGGAGCAAGCACCAACCTCACCTTCAGCCCCAGGGCCAGCTCTTGGGCTGGAGCCATCTAGACCACCAGCTTTGATATAAATTCTAAGAATAAAGCCAGTGCCATCCCCAGCATCCGACTACCCCTGGGCTGTGACCACTAAGCACCAGTTAAGGGAGGAGAANAACTATCCCTGGGCTGTGACCACTAAGCACCAGTTAAGGGAGGAGAAGGATAATATCCTGACTGTCCCTCCAGGACTGGTGGCAGAGCCACTGATAGCTATGGATGCAGTGAGCAGGGGGCTCTCCAGGTGAGGTGGGAGAGGCCTTCCCTCTGTCCTTAGCTGCCCGGACTGCCTTTCCCTTCTCTGTACTCCTATGATCTGGATCCAAATTCCAGCTCTCTCACTTGGCACCCATGGGTCCTGGACAATTTTNGCTCTCCCACTTGGCACCCATGGGTCCTGGACAATTTTCTCAACCCCCAAGCCTTCTCTGTCCACCTGCGGACATGAGATGGACACTCACAAGATCTGCACAGAGTGGCTGTGCAGATTAGATGAGGGCAGTCACACAGAAAGCTGGTTGGGGCCTGGATGGTATAGAGCTCATTGTGGTCAGCCATGTACATGGGTCCCCCATCTCTGTGCCCATGAGGCTCAGTGGCTTCAGCACTTATTAGGCACCTGATGTGTACTTAACTACAAAGGAGAACGAACAGTTCATGGTTGTTGCTGCCACAGAAGAATGTGCACTGAATAGGGATTTGGGCCATAGGGGTGATCAGATCCTGCAAGATGCCCCTTGGTGAGCAGACATGAGTCACATCCTGGAGTTTGGAGTGAGGAAAGGCTGGGTGCAGGTGCTCCTGTCCCTTCCTCACCAGTCTTGGGCCCTTGATCGTCCAGTGCTGGGTGCCCTCGGTGGACAGAGAATGAATCCCAGGGACTCCAAGGCTCAGGCCACATCCCCAGGTTCTTGAGTTTCCGTCTTGACCAGTGACTCCTGCTGGAGGTTGGGGACCTTGAGTTGGGGTATTGCTGGGCTGGGTGACACTTCCCTTTCTCCCAATGACTGTTCCCAGAGGTGTTTCTTTACCAATACCTGGGCTCCATCAGGTCCCAGTGAGAAAATCCTGGCAATGAGCAGCTGGAACCAAATGTCCGTGCCACCATCATACAGCTCAATTGTGTGGCTACCTGTGTTATGATTATCTGCCTTGGGCACCCAAGCATGATGGCCCAGGACAGGGCCAAAGTGGTGGAGCACTGGGTTAAGGTGGCCAAGGTATGTGATAGGAGGCCCAGTGGAGTCTCTATGTGGAATCTTGAAAAAGGCCTCTACTGCTTTGTCAACCCTCAGGACTGAGGCCTGAGGCCTGAGCCCCAGCACAGTCTCTAGGTCCTCTCTGCCAGGGGCATGCTGACCTTGACTCTCAGGTCTCAGTGATGGGGTTCACTTCCTACTTAGTTCTTTCCTTGGCTTGTGCTAAGACTTGCTCTCTGTGAGTTTTGGTCTTTGGGTGCTAAACATGCCCACCCTGAGCATCTGCTTCATCCAGGAGGGGGTGTTCATTGGGGGGGACTGAAGCTAGAGCTCCAGCTCACCACCTCACAGCCCATCTCTCCCCTTCCCAGGAGTGCAGAACCCTGGAGAACTTCTCCCTACATGCCATCTTGTCGGGTCTGGAGAGCATGAATGTCCATCGCCTAAAGAAGACATGGAGAGAAGTTTCCAGGTGTGTGGGCCTCTTCCATCAGAGGATTGGGTGTCTTCCATATGTCTCCCAATGTCCCCTTACCTCCTGGGAGGCAGCCAACCCTGGGGACAGGGACTGGGTTGGTGGGTGGAGTGTCTAAGCCTCCCTGGGACCTCAGGCCACCAACTGTGTTTCAGGAGTCTGTTTCCTTAAATGTCAGACTGCATTGAGAAAAGGTGCANGCTGCACTGAGACAAGTTGCAGATTTGCAAGTGTTTCCAGCACCAGAACCCTATGCCCAGCTGAAACAAGAACTGGTCAAAACTGCTCAATAGCAATGGGAATGGGGGCCCAGTTGACCAACATGAGAGCCCTGCCCCAGTCCCACAGAGACCTTCCTGCTCAGAGGAACCCATGAGGACCCTCACCCCGGGACTTTGAAACTTTAGATTGTCAAAANCAGATTTTCAAAAGGAATTTGCCCTCAATGCCCCTCACCTATCATTCCTAAACATGTCTCTCCTCTGTCCCTCCCCTCAGGAGGAGCACAGTCAATGAAAAAACTGTGTAAGGAAGACAACCCAGCAATCTGGAAGAAGCTCATGAAGGTAGAGCTANCTGTGTAAAGAAGACAACCCAGAAATCTGGAAGAAGCTCATGAAGGTAGAGCTAGGTGGAGGTCTTGAAAGAGAAGAGAGTGTGAGGGAAGCAGGGACTGTGCAGGATGTGGCTTTGGTAGTTTGTCCCTTAAAGATTCTCTGAAAATTTTCAACCTCTCTCTCCTGATTAAGAGGAAGAGTTTCTGTTNCGATTAAGAGGAAGAGTCTCTGTTTGGTCCATGAGCAGGCAGGGGGCAGTTTCAGAGGGAGGAGGCCCAGTCACAACACAGAGTGGTGTGGCTGGGCCTGCTGCAGAATGGCGTACAGGGCTGGCAGATTGAGCATGTCTCTGGATTTCATGTGGATCCATCCACTGGCACTTAGCTTCTTCTAGGCTGTGGGGTGAATGGGGTGGGTGGGTACCTTTCTTCCCCAAACCAGCCCAGCCTGTCCTCAGGAAACCAAGGCCCTGCTGCTCCTTTGGTCTTCATCACACATCCAAGGGGAGTGACCCTGCCTGCCCCAGGGATGGACCCTGCTGGGGATTTCCCCTAGCCAAGTGAACAAAAGGGCTGTTTGGCTATGGGTCCCAACTGATGGACCAGAGACAGAGAGGTGTGCATTCTGTGCTTCCCACTGCCCCATGTAGCACTCACTGCCAGTCTGTCATAGTCAGGATTCTCACCCAGTGCTCAGTGGGCACTAACATGGGCCAGGATGCTTCTGAAAAGTGTATGGGGAGCTGGTGCATTGTTAGTGAGGTGGGGAGCTGGAGCACTAGCTTCATTTCCCCTCAATTGACACACCCTCTTGGGTGGGTCAGATGCTCAGGATGGGCACATTTAGCACAGACCTCAGATGTTTCATGTCCACCAGGTGGCAAAGTGTTCTGTTACCTGCTACCCTGCCAGTCAGATGGAATACCTTGAGGGTCCCATTCCTGAGGATAAAGAAAGACTGCTGCCCAGGGGAAGGTCTCTGGGCATTCTTTGGGGAGGTGAAAGCTTGGCATGGCCTTGATTCCAGTCCAATGGACAGAGACTCCAATGGGGTAGGGCAGGCAGGGCTGCTCAACCAGGCTCCTGAGACACTAGTACGTCTATGCCTTGGCCCAATGGGGGCATGGGCACAATCTGAGAGCCCAGAAGACAGGGCTCTGGACAGTGATGGGGCTGGTGAGGGCAGATGGGACAAAGCCTCTGGCTGGGAGGGGCAGGTGGTGTCTCCTGGGTAGGCCTCTGAGAAAGTCACTGTCCCCCTTTGGACCCCCTATCTGCTAGTGAGAGAAAAGGAGGGATGACCATCTTGTGCTGCAGGCCTCACAGGGTGTTCACAAGGTTCAGGCAGGAAAAGACTGTGCAGAGCTCCCTGAACTGTTCCATCTTGAAGGGTAGGGCAAGAGCAGTGATGACAGTAATGACACTGAGTCCTCAAGAGGACCTGTGAGCTAGATGGAAGCAGGTCAGGGAGGCAAGATTGCTGCCCAAGGTCACACACTGAGTGAGCGTTGTAGCTGGGAGCTTTTCAGAATCAGAGCATGCTGGAAGCAGAGTAGCCCTGGCACCAGCTGACTTGAGTCATATGTCCAGGGTCTGAGGTCAAGGTGGAGGGGGAAATGGGGTGAGGGGAGTCTGGCCTCAATGACCCTGTCCTGGACCCTGGCAGAAGTGGCCTTCCAGGTTTGTTACCCTGATGCTGACCCTCTGTGAAGCTCAGAAGAGGCTGCAGAAGAAGGTGAGTGAGCCTGTCTGGCAAGTGCTCCAGGGTCAGAGAACAGGGGGCATTGTCCTCCCAGCTGGAGGCCTCTAAGTCAAGAGAGGGAGGCCTTCCTCCTTCATTCCAGTCCCTGTTCTGACAGAACCTAAGACACTCCATTAGAGGTGACCAAGAGGAGGGCCTGAGAGAGCTGGGTGCAGCAAGCATATGGGACTGGGGCTGGCCCAGGACCACAAACCCTGTGATTTGCCAAAAGTAGGCCCTGACGGTTAGGAGGAGTTCTTAGAGAATGAGGAAAGGGACAATTGGAATGAGGAAAGGGAGGTTCTAAGGGTCCTGGGATGCTCCATGTGGGGTCCCTGGGGTGGGCCAGGAGGAATGACATGATCTGGCTCATGTTGTCAAAAACAATTACGTTAAAATGCATTCATTCAAAAATGTGTCCTGTAAGAAAATATGCACACGAGTGCCCATTATTAATGAGATTATAGTAAATGTGGCTTAGATTTTTTTTTAATCTTCACCAGATAATATAGGTTTATTGATTTTAGAGAGGAAAGGAGAGGAAGAGAGAAGAACAAGGATCCATTGTCTCCAGTGCGCTGCACTAGGATCCTATCGCCACCTGGGTATGGGCCCTGACTGGAAATCACACCCACAACCCTTGGGTGTACAGGACCACACTCCAACTGAGCCACATTGTCCAGGGCGGTGCTTAAATTTTTGTAATTAACTTTCCCGATGACCCCTTGGCCCCTATACCTGGGTGGCCTCTGCACTCCTGCTCTCAGCTCTCCCTTCCTGGGCACCCCGGGCACCCCCATCTACCTCGCTGGCTGCCTAGCACCCCTGGTGGGCCCCAGGGGCTCAGCTGGATGCCCGCTGCAGAGGGACCCGCCCCCGCAGCCCTCTGCCCCCCTGCACCAGGCCTCCGCTCCTGCCCCTCTGTCTCCCTCCCTTCCTGTCCCTTGGGCCCACCCCGGGCTGCCCCTTCCAGCCTCAGCACCTGGGGCTCCACTGGCGCCCGCCGCCAGGGGAGGGACTGTGCGACTTTGCCGCCCACGCAGCCCCCCAGGGGGGAAGAATGTCCAGACCCACGGTCCGAGTGGTGCGCCCCGCTGCTGCCGCAGGGGCTCCTCCTCCCAGCTCTAGAGAAGGGGTGAGCTAGGGGTCTGGGCGCAAAGGC